AAGGATCTGAACCTTCATGTCACGCCCACCCATCCGTCGTCTTCCTACCTCGCTATCGCTGCGCGTTTGTGTAGTTGCTCTGTTCGATCATACGTCTAAAAAATGAATACTACGTGGGGAAGACGGTTCCTTGACTTTGTTCCCGTGCTCGTTTAGCAACTTCGAAACCAGGTCTGCCTTCAGAAACACCTAAGACATATACGTCTCACTGCGAGAGAGTATCTAGCCCGTTGGATCGAAATATTTATTTTTGTTCTAGACGTCAGGGAAAAGAGAATGTTCGCTAGTGAAGTGGGAGAGATAAATTTCGAGATCAGTAGCGAGGTCATTAGGTAGGCCGGGCTGGTAACGAAAATCTATACTCCTACTTATTGAATACCTGAAGACAGGAAAAAGATGAATAGAGGCGAGCATGTATGGGGATAACCACTATTCACAGCCGGAATGGACCACATGAAAGCATGCGGAACTGAAACTTGATTAGGAAGCCCTAATCGAACCAGTGCAAGCTATGGTTCTAACAGTATTGCTCCTTTCAGCCGTAAGACGTTCGAGCTTCGTAAAAGTATGTCATGTATAATGAGAAGTATTTCTGCTATAACACTGATCGATATCGATCAATGAACACTGATAAACATCAAGCTCTTTTTTATATGATTGGCAATGTCCGAAGGCAGTTGCACTGCAAAATACCGATTATACTACGCATGTAGTTGTTGTTTTGTAATTGATCCGTCCATTCCTTCCAAAAGTGATGCGTTCATACTTTACGATGACCACATATGATGAGAAGTTCGTTGTTATGATATCGATTGATATGTCAGTCGATACAGTTGGATAACGACTTGCTAGGTGATTGAACGCCTATTCATGCTTTCACACATTTTCGGGCAAAGCAGCCAGGTAAGATCGAATTTGTGCTGTACAGCAATTGCTGGCTACATCAAGGTTTGTTTAGGAATCGAATGGATGTCAGCAGCCGGGCTCCTTGAACATGAAACGTTCGAGAAAAAAGGGATTTCAGCATATGTAATGCAAAATGCTTGTAGTGAACAGATTGATATTGATCTATAAATGCAGGTGAAAATCGATTTGCTCTGTGATTGGCCTGCAATTTGGCTGTGAATTACGATTTACAGCCAAGCGATATGTGCAAGTTTCGGTACATGGATATCGCTATCAATCAATCGATGTTGATTAATATTGGCTTGCTGTGTGATGGACCAGGTAATTCTAGCTGCGCGATTCCCTTTTAATCTACGTAAGACCTAGTCTCATGCACTTTATCGCTTTACTTATTGTTTTCGATACTGAAGCAAGCAGCGGTTTCCATATTCCGCTCATCGATTGAAGTGAGACGAAACCGAAAAGTGAGATAACTGTTTAAGCTTTTCTTATGAATCGCAAAGCTTCATGAAGTCACAGATTGAGCTACTTTTTCGAAATCAGTGGTCAGTGCTCAATGATACATCACCTACTAATTTGCAATTCGTTCCGCAATCGGTTCTACTACAGTAGCGCTCAAATGTATTCGGTGGAATGCTTCTTCACTCGTACTTTTAAGTCATAACTCCTTCCCTACTGGATCTAATCAAGCGAAATTTCAATATGGCTAGCAATGTTGTAGGGTTAATATTTATCACGTTTAACCTGCAATATGATCATGTTCCAGATATCCCAAAAGGCTTGAACTCAAAATCAACTGAAAATAGGGGCATTGGTGCTGTTAGGATTTCTTTCTTTTTTGCCACGTCCAAAGTTTACGAGCGTTAATGCAGAATACAGAAGAGGAGGAAAGCACAAATAAGGTAGAGGACTGCAGACATCACACTTGCTTTCAGCATTGTCTACAGACACCTTCCCCTTAGCTATGTGGACCTTGCTGCTTTGCAGTCAAATAGTGTTAGATAGTGTGAAATATTCTTCAGTTGAACATATTGAAATTTCATGCGATTTGCTCTACTGGGAAAGCTGCGGCAAGTTGAAGTTGGCCGAATATTCCTGAGCGATACTGTATAAGAACACCTAAATGTGATTGAGACATCTCAAGAGATTCCTTGAACATTTTCGTCAAAAGAGATTTTAAATACTTACTATTTAGTATCGCTGTCCTAACAGTGAGTCATGCGTGTAAAAGAACATACGCTGTAGAACGAAACTCTACCAAAAAAAAACTAATTGATATAGTTTTAGTCATAATATGATTTTCTCAGATTAAACTCGGTTTCTAAATAATGGAGGGCTTGGAGGTGCATGCAATGGGGTTCCTTGCCAGAGTTCGCAGGTAGCGCAGCCGCTCGCCAACTTCTTTCGGACATCTGCTATGAATGAATCGCTGTCATAGGATATGCTTGTATTGTAAAAACGATGCTTGATGCTCCCATCATTACAGATGACGTTTTTCTTTTTTTGTCTTGAAAATGCTTTTGCAGCAGCAAATTACAGTTTTTCTTCCCTTTACTTCTGGATTTATTTCGAGAATCCACAATATGTGACAAATTTCTCCGGAAACGTTTTGTGCCCTGAGAAAGCGTCGAGACCAACAGCGGGGATCTCACTCGTTGCTGACACCTAATTAAATGCAGCCTTCTCAACGACAGACAGGAAATTGAGAAGATCCAAATAGTAGGATTGATTTTCCCTTATTTTGATTTTCCACTTGTTGGCGCTCCTGTTCGAGATGCAGGACACTTTGATTTTGAACGTTTCTAATGTGATTATTTTGGTTTTTTGTTGACAGCAATTTCTTCGGTGCAGCGTCTTGGCATTGTTCTTGTTAATTGTCAAGATTACTCTTAGACATTGTATTGAAGTATGCTGAGCCATTTTATATCATTTTCTGCATGCATTCTACGCCCCTTACTCGTTGTGTTCGCTGTGTTGCATGAAATTGCAGACATTGCATCGCCTTCGTCTACTCGCCCAAACACTCCCTTCACAGCCGTTTTTCTCCCTAAAACTCGTCCAATTTAAGACGGTACTACTTTTTGGACCTCGATATTTCTTTTTATTCGCATTTTTTAGCGCTTTTTTCGTTATTTTCACACTATACTAGGCTATTTCTATCATCTTCCGTCAAAAACCGGGTACCCAAAAATTATCGTGAACTGTGCATTCAAATGTAAGAAGCTTAGTCGAACGCCTTCTATGCAGCTTACAAATCAATCGGTGTGACCTCTACGCCTGACCGCGCTGATGCGCAGACCTCTAATCTCTCTATTTCAAACCACATTCATCTGATTGGTGTGCCATTGTCGAGCGATTTTTTATTAGCTGTTTCTTGCGCATCGATGTCAAAAAATAGCTCATTTTCTTCGTCACGATTCGAAACGGTGCACTCTGCCGCCACAAGGATTGATTGCTATAATGTGGCTTCTCACTCCAAATTCGTATGAATGTTTGTAGAGCACATTTGTATGCGATTTGCGCTGACTCTCAGTGGGTCTACATAAGGCATTGAGACATTTCCTCGCTGAGCTTTGAACGGCTAGACCCTGAAAACTGACTGAAAATGCACCTTCCATGGGTATTCTCAACTTCTGTTTTGCTTGTCTCTACTCCATAAACTCTATTAATAAAGACTCATGATGATTTTTCCGTGCTTGCTAAGACCTGGTTTCAGCATTCGAAGCTGCTGTGGTTGTAGCAACAACGCTCCTAACATCTTCGAGCGTGTGCCACTACTGTTAGGTGGTTGTTTCCTGTCGTCACATATTATCGTCAGTCACTTTCTTTGAGAGACATGTGAGCTCGGAGATCGTTGAATTATCTCGCGCACGACTTGCTAGCAGGATATGTTTGACGACGTCGTTGGAAAGTTCAATGTTAATCGTATACCATATTGGAAAACAACTTTTCGGCACATCGTAGCTGGAAGGAACAATGTCTCAGAAAAGCTCTGAGCGAACGTCAGAGAAATCGTTTTCTTTTTTTCGTGTTGACCAGTTTTTTTTTTACCATTTGACCCATGTACAGGTCACTTGTAACGCTTCGCCCTCTACGTATGAGTGATCCTTTCACTGAAAAGTTGCCCAGTACCTAAGGATTCTCTATTGCAATCAAATTTCAGTAGCTAGTCAGAGTAATAGCTAGTAATTTCAGTAGGAGATTCTGGCGGCCGGAATAGTCTCATACAGTTCCCAGCCCTTTCGATGACAGCTAACTCGAAGCAACCTATTGATGTTTATCCCAACGACTTCATTCGCCTCGACCCAAGATCGATATTTTCCACGTTAATAGTGTAATCTTAGCTCCCAGATAAAGTGCATTGCGGTAGTGAAGACGTTTGGGGAAAAATTCGAGTCCTGCACATTTGCAGTTGTCATGCCATGCAATTATTAAGGAAGTGAGTTAACTGCATTGATTATTCCTTTGTTGAGCTCTTACGAGTTCTCCGATGTGATCTATGATATTTCCATCAATTCTACCAACTGTCTGCCCCCAAGGCGGTGGGAGGGTGAAAACTGTGGAGCGTGGGGTGGTTTATGATTTTTATAATTTTATCATGAGCTCTGATGCGAAGTTCCGATTATTTCCAGTCATGTGGGAGTTAATATTCACCGGCTTCCTACTTCGCATTCAAAGCTGTGGGTGAGTAGTTGTTGAGGAACTGGAGGGATGGCCCCTACCACATGTTTTCGTCCTCACCATCAGATGTCGACACTTATAATTCGAAAGCTCTCGTCATCACTGCTACTGTTCAACGTAGCTGTGCGTTATGAGCTTTATTATTCTCTTCAGTAATGTTTATACAAGTATGTATATATAAGTTTAACGACACGTCTGCATGCCCACACGGCCAAGAGTGAGCCCCACTGCTAGAGCTTGGCAAGCTACACCTGGGTATTTATTGTGGGTTCCGGAAAAAGTAATGAAAATGGGCCTCATTCCTCTAAGCCTGAAGGAGCCTCCAAAACGGCAGCGTCGGATAGATCGCTCGGGAAGCTCTGCCAAAATCTCAAACCCTCAAAAGGCCCCTCCTGTCCGAAAGGAGGACTAAGATGGCGATGTGTAATTACGATGAAGGAACGCTTGCATTGGAAGCGGGTATCGAAGATCCGATGATGCAAGCCATAAAGATCAAGTACGAACTCATCGGACTGGCCGTGACGAGACATGGTCCACTGAACGCCGTATTTGAGATTGCGACAGCAGAGGCGTCGGCAGCGTAGGTGTCTTCATCAATACGCACTTGGCCATGAACATCGACCCGTTCGAAAGCTTGACAATTCGAATCGGACGTTTGCTATTGAGGAGATGTGGCTCAACCCCAGCTCTAACAATCTTCGTTATTTACGCACCAACGTCGTGCTACGATGAAGTAGAGTTGGATGCGTTTTACATGGATCTAGAGAGGCCTACAGAGAGGACCATGCCTCTCTCGAGGTCATCGTTGACGATTTCGGTGCCAAGATTGGTCGCAGAAGAACGGCTGAAGAACTCCACATCGGGCTCACCGAATGGAATAGAATGAGCGAGGTGAAAGGCTGTTTGACTTTATCATGTTGATCCACACTATCCAGCTCGCAGTTCCAGAAGCCCGCTCACTTGCGATGGGCATGGGACTCACCTGGTGGACAGTTCCGTGAATGAAATAGATCACATCATCTTCACTCGAAAGTTTTGTCTAACTAACGTCGCTGTTGTTCCGAAATTCCACTGAGGATCAGGAAAATGTCTCTTTCGCGCTAGATTCTGCGATCGCATCAAAAAATATAATTGATAGTTGACTACCCGGCGCGTGTCGCGTGCACGGCTCTTGGCTCATTCCCAAATGTAGTATACTGTCCTCAACTGGAGTCATTTCAATACTGATTGCTACAGGAATACATGTAAAACACTTTCTTCCAATCATCTTACTGTTATTGCCTAACCAGTCGGGCCGCCCGGTCAACGCCGGACTTCCCTCCTTCTAGTGGCAGAGTTGTGATAGTCGGCAAATCATCCCTTCCTATTTGGTACAAATAATACTTCTCGGAACGCGAAAGTCGACAGAGGACGAATAGGGTATGCTAGCGGTATTTGAAATGCCCCAATGCTCATGCCTTTACTGGATGTTTCGATATGTTGCGGTTCATCTTGTAGTTAATGACCCATTGATGGTTCTATTGGCAGGTAACCAAAGCCTTGAGTGGTACTCACAATGTACAAAAGTCACAATAGCACCATTATCAGATGTGTTTATCAGTAAAGCTTCCTTTCCCTATGGATCTATCATTACTTGAGAATCTGAAATTACTTGCGCTCAGATAAGTTCTGCCAAGAAAGATGCCGGAGCAAAGCGAAACCGTGATCCTTCCCTTCCCTGAATCGAAAGCATGGTTGAGTAGCGGTCGTAATCTAATAGCAACAATAGAACCGATATTCGACTCCTTATAATTGAGTACCCTTAATCGGTTCTTGTTACTGCACTAATCGTTGCTGTCCATTGAAACATATCGGAGAGTCAAAGTTAGACCGTATTGATCAAAAGCGCTACATTTTGAAATACTGCTATCTCTGAGCTTCATTCAGACTTCTTGTCGTTTTGTGTACTTTTCGAAGCTCTTTCCTCTTCACTTTTATTGGTGAGTTTTCGGCATATAATGCCTTCGTCGGACCTTAAGTACTCACAATATATTGCTGCATACAATCAGTTACTATCAGTTACAATACAAAACACATCGAATCGTACCAAGTCAACCGGAAATATTTGGGGGAAAAAGGGGAATGGATCTGTCGGCGGGCATCTTGAAGGGAAAATGAACGCCGCTTTTGTTCTGAGGCGACTAAGTGTTATCACGCAATTAGTCTCAGTAGGTCACGCATCTCCTCTTTAGCATTGATTTCCGGCTTGATGCGGTATATTTCCCGTGCCTCCATGATTTTACTTTCCAGTGGCCGTACCAAATATCTATGCAAAACCCTCACATCAAGGGATGGAGCGTTCTCTTTCTCATGCCTAAGTGTACGNTTTTCTCCACATCCTCCACATTGAATCAAACAGACAGTGCCCCGGATTTCAGAGATCTTCTCAAAAGTGCATCATCGACAAGACTGTTCGCGGCACCGTCTTTCGTAGATTCGGGATGATGTTAGGAGATCATTCAGTGTGGGGGGAGGTCGGAAAACAAGTCGAATGGGAAGCCGGGAGTTTTTGACGACGCGGTCTACCTTACGTGCCATTTTGTCGTTGACAAAAGGCACAATGAGGCTTACACCATCAGCCGTCCTGTGCGGGACCCAGGTCCTTGTATTGCCTTCGAAGTATCCGTTGCTTTCAGGGATACTTTCAATTTTAGCATCAACAACTGAATCCCTTCGCGTCCCAAGCTCTCCTTCCTTTTCAAAAGATTCCGCACGACTCTTGCCTTAGTAAGAATAGGATGTGCGCTTCTAGAATGCAACAAGATGTTCGACGAGGAATTTTTTCTACACCATAGGTGTTCCTTATGACCTTCACTAATTCGTGCCTTCTCATTGAGGAATGAAAGGAATCCATCCCTCCCGGATCTTCCCTTGTGAAGGTTATGTTAGCATCGTGAGAGTTAGGTCACTTCAATGTTTCCACAAGGTCTTCTTCCGTCGTTCCGATAACGACAAGATTCCACTAGTTAATGATGACCTCTCGATGTGGTCCAAGAAGAAGACTGCTAACACAGGTGCTATGCGATTACCCATGGCAAGGCCTCGTTTTTGCTTGTAAAACTTATCGTCGAAGCAAAAAATGTTGCATTCCAGTGCTGCTTTGATGAGATCCTTAACCTCGCTGCGGGAAAATCCCATCATCGTGATATCGTCTTTGTTATCCTCGATGAGAGATAAGACAGCTCGCACTGCTCCCGCGTTATTCACATTCGTGTATAAGGATACCACATCAAAGCTCGCGTAGAAGGCTCACGTCGGTACTGGACATTGGTAAAGCGCCGAAATGAATTCTTCAACATTCACAATGTGTGCTCCCACGTAACGCAAAAGTGGCGATAGTAAACGAACTAAGAGCCAGCTTAATCCGTCTGCTGGTCCACCACAAGACGAGATAATCGGTCTCGCCTTGATTTCAGTCCATGGGAGAGTTATTGTTTCTGTTTTCGCTGGAATTTTATGCGTCTTCATCAGGTTGTAGAGCGTCGGCACTGTTGGGACCGTACCATAGAGTCGTTTTGCCATTTCAGGACTTATTGGTTTCTTCACAATCGACATCGCGTTCTTCATTCTCTTGCACACTGATTCAAACGCGGACAAAGTGCTTTCTTCGTAAACGGTGTCGTCTGAGAGCACTCTGTTGGTGATAGCCTTATCCATCGTTTGTGGCATCACTACGAAGGAGCCACACTTGTCTCCAACGGTGTACCTCAATACCTTCTTCGCTTGCAGTAGTTTTTTCACCCCTCTGCTTTCAGTTGGGGTCAGATTACTGCGATAAGGCTCACTCATCGCGTTTCGATGAACGCGTTGAATTCCGTCCTCGAGGTTCGCAATTTCAGAGTCGATTTCACGTGAAGAGAGTGGTACTCTTATACACTTTCCTTTGAATGGCATCAGTGACATTGAAGTCGCCTGCTGGTCAAGTACGGTCAGTCCACGATGTGTTCTACAGCGTAACTGGTAGGCGAATTGATGCACTCCCCAAAGCGCAGCGTCAACTACTTAGTTGTTGACCGTCGGTGTTATCTCGCAAATGATGGTCCTAGATTGAGCATGAGCACTGCAGCCATATCATTATCAACTTCATTTGTCCCAATTACCACATGACGTGCTGGTGGAACAGCATTTGCTGTGATAAAATGTGGTTGCTGGGGTGACTGTCAACGCGATCTCAACAGGTTCAGCTTTCTTTCGAAGTGGCATTTTAAATCTTCTCGTAGATAGGAGCATATCCCCTGGTTTTCCGAAGATAATTTTTGCCACACTTCCATACAAAGTTCCAAACGTAATCGATTTCTCAGATGGGTTTATCAGTATCGCGTACGACCGTTTGGCGCTCTATCCGCTCTGATGAGTATATCACACGAGAAACGATGAAAAAGGCTACTTGTCTCAGTAATCGCAACAAGCTGTCGAGGCTCGCCCAAACCATCAAAGAGCCTCCGAATTTCTTCTCGAAAACAAGAGTGACTTTTGTCGAAGGTCCCATAGTAATGATGAAATCCATCCAGCCCATCGACATTGAACTTCTTTTCATCAGAGAAGATCACCTAATAACAAAATGGGTACAACACGTTGTTTGTTCTGGAAGTAGGGAAATCCTGAAAATTCTCGATCGACCGTGCCTTGTTCCATGATGTTGCCATTTTCCGACGAGCAAACTCTGAGTACTGAGTCGGATAGCCTTCTTCGTCGTCTCTCGTGTGACATACTCATCAGAGCGGGTAGAGCGCCAAACGGTTGTTGGCGAGACTGATAAACCGATCTAAGCTCGGATCTGACTCGCAGACTAAGAAGTATTTGCCACAAGACGGGCTATTCTGCTGTTGTCTTGAGCGGTCAAAATACGTGGACGGCCAGGAATAGGTTGTGAGCGATAGCTGCCAGGGTCTCGAATAAATCTAGCAATGCATGAAAAAGAACGGCCCAGTTGAAGTTTTAAAAGTATGTGCACATTCAAAAATTTTCATCTCGAAGATAACTAAAGAACCTACCATAACGGAACCATTACCAAACGACTCCGCGTTGACGATAAGCTTCACAGGAATTCAGTAGGCCCTATTGGTTTCTGATCTCGGTTGTATTTTTGTTTTCGCTAAGTGTGCAGATACTTGTGAAACAAAGGAAGGTTTTTTCTTTAATGAAAAATTATGTTAGCAGCTACGATGTTTTCTCAGAGAAAGTGTTAGAAGGTATGGCACACAAGGAATTCAATGGTAAAGGTCACAGGTTACAGAAAGCAATGATATCCCCAAAAAAACACTGTTGGGTGTGCACATACTTTTGAAACACACTGTATATATGTTAGGATGTTCTGGCTCGCTTAGGAGTTTATTAATGTTTCTAAGCTCTCCACTACATGCGGCTTACTCCTCTTCCTACTCAAGATTTCCATATATTTGCTGCACTCGCTCCCTGTATTCTTGTATGTTAAATGCCACTTACAACTGTTTATTCTCATACAAGCTCATTAAAGAGTAAAAATACGTGTTTCGATTTAGATTTACCTTGGATTTGACCATCACATTAGGAATAGAGATACGACCTCTGACTCTGCTCCTCTCGTTTTCTAGGTTAGTAGTGGCTTTCACAATGAGAAGTATTGAAGATTTTCTACCTTCACTTCGAAAATAAGGAAGCCACTTCATAGAGATTTACGATTCACTCACACCTCACTGTTGTGACTGAATGGCTTTGACTCGATTCCAGAAGGCAGAAAGAATGCTCTAATTTCACGACCCTAGAAGACAAAAATATGTGTTCGTTTTTGTTGAAATGAGCACATGTATTTGGTTTACTCAACTACTGGAATTCTGAAAAAGTGAGATAAAATGAGTATTGAGGCCGAGATCCATTTAAATCCGATCTCATTCGTCCGCTTATTCTTCTCATCACCCCACATGCACTAGCCTCGCAACTCAGGTCCACCCCGCAATATCCTCTCTTTATCTCATAGGCTTATTCAAACGGCTTAATCGCACCGACCTCATCTCTGGTATTTCACAAATCCTACGATAGTTTTTAGGATAATCAAATTTGTCCTCAAACTCTCCCACTCTCCTAATTTTATCTTCTCTGCAGGATCTATACGGTAGGAGTTTGCACATCGATGAGGAATCTCTCTTTGTTTCCCAAACTTATCATTGCACCGCAAACTCTATATGGCCATTCTGGAGCTATAATGGCCAAAGACTCGAGCTGGAGGATTTCTATTGCAGTTTGTCTAGGAGACTTCAAACGCCGCTATTATGGCATGGGGATAAGAGGAAGGCGAATAATTCAGCCAATGAAGGGAGACACTCAAATGCTGAAGGTGTCTATAAGAGTGAAGAGCTTAGTAACATAAATAAACTTCTGAGCAATCCAGCCTCACGAAACCATAAACAAATTGAGCAGTATTAGTGAGACGCTTAGAAAATGTGTTACACATGTATTCGTTAGCAGCCAGTAGTGAAATAACTCCGGTCGAAGATAATGCACCTCATTTAGCTATGGGCCAAGAGCCGCACACGCGACACGCGCCGGAGAGATGCCTATAGTTTTGGATGTGATCTGAATTCTGCTCTTCAGTGCGTGGAAAAAGAGCTGCAGAGTACAGGAAATGGAGCCCCAAGACTTTTGTCAGCTGGAATCATCTCTCCTTACTTGCAATTCTGTAGGAAGATTCCGTTAGCGACAATATCGATGAAGAATACAACCTGCTTGTCGAACATCTTCAGATAGTGCCTAGAGAGCAGAAAGTCAGTGTGCAGTCAGCGTCATTCAACACACGATGCTTACGAAGTAGAATTAGTAATTTCAGTGTCTGAAAAGCACGAAACTTATCCGAATGTGCGTAGTAAGGCAGTGAGACTTTCGTAGAGATAATTCTTGCTCTCACCTTCACACCTTTTACCCGAGCTTCGCATGAAAGGATCTCGAGCGTGTATTTCATGACAGGGTCTCAAGAGAGAGCTGGCATTGCTACGGGTATGACAGGCGCCCGTATGCGAAGAGGAAAAGGTAGTTTCTAAGCTGGCGTGCGGCGTGTCCAGCGACCAAATTTGAACCCGTTCATGTTTGAGAAAATAAGATAGATTCGTTGGGTCTCAGAGATATAGAAAAGAGGAGAAAAAGTTGAGTTACTAGCCAAAAAGTGCGCATTGCATCTCTCTCTTACACACTCATACACCACATATTTCTATATCACTTAGACCCACTAAAGACATCTTATTCTCTCGAATAAACGGGTTCAACTTTCAGCACTAGAATACACGTCGTAGAACATCATCCTTAACTCGCCCTTTCCCTCTGTTATTTAACAATGTCGTCGACGAGGAAGCCCCAATGCGACAGCGTTGGCAGGACCACTCGAAGGAGACCTTTCAAAATTTTAGGATCATACCAGGCTGTTTAAAGGGAGGTGGACTAATTGTAAGATGGGGATCTGTGCCTCCGATGCACGAATGCTTGCATCTAAGATCTCATGATGCAGATTATGAAGACTAGGTACGGCGTATGACCGAGACGAGAGGTCATCGCCTTCTGTGCGACGTTTTTGGAACTGTAGAAGCTTTGTTTCCTAAAACATGCATCGGTCCCCACAATACGCACTCAGTCATGAACATTAAATCGTACGAAAGCTCGACGACCCAAATTGGACTTTGCGATCGAGAGGATGTGGCTCAACCCCAACTGTACCAATCTTCGTTGCCTACGTCAAGTTCTGGAAAGGAGAGGCTGGGAGCGTTTCGAGTGAACCTAGCGAGGCTCTCAAGAATGGACCACACTTTCTTCAAAGCCATGTCAGTGTTTTCAACTCCAAAATAGGCCCCAGAAAAGTGGCTGGACAGTTATATATTGAGACTCACGGAACGGAATGGAATGAGCAATTTTAGAGACTGTCCGAGTTTACCATGTCGTCCAACACTATCCATAGAAATTCCAGGTTCCAGAAGCCTTCTCATTTGCGATGGGCATGGGAGTCACCTTGTGGACACTTTTAAAATGTAATAGATAACATCATGTCCGAGCGAAAGTTTTCTCTGACAGACGACGCTGCCACCGTCTCCTCCGAGCTAGATTGTTTTTTTCAGTGCGTGGAGGGAGAGTTGCAAAATTTAGGAAAGAATCCCCAAGACTGTTGCCAAATGGGATCACTCCGCTTCACTTGCTAGTCCGTAGGAAGATTCCGTTAGCGAAACATCGATGAAGAGTACGACCGGTTCGTAAAACATCTTCATGATAGTGCCGGGAAAGCGGAATGTCTACGAGTAGCCAAAGGGTGTCTTAGTTCAAAGATTCTGTAGCAAATACGCAACCGCGGAATGCGCTAGCTACGAGACATTGAACAAACGTCCAAACTTTTGAAGCTCTGCAAAAAAGCGAGAAAGGGTATGAGTAGAGAGGAGCAACAATCTTGGCCCAACTCGGGGCTTGGAGGAGCATTCGCGAAGCCCGCCGGAGCATCGCCAATCCCACATAAAGATGAATTCTGTGCGTCATCTGACGGACCACATAATGGATTCTGAAGAAGAGTGAAGAAGAACATCTGCGACCTTTTCACGGAACTTTGCACGGCCCCATCTACCTGCCTACCTACCACCTTTGGCAGTGTGGATATGCCCTTTCTTCATTCTCTCTTTCAAAACTCTCGTGCTGCATGCAAAGGGTACATTGGCAAAAATATCGTTCTTGCTAATCTTAATTTTTTTACATTATTCATCATTTTTTTTCACGTTATCTTATAATAGTATTGGCAGTATACTAAATGAAGGACAGTCGATCGAGCTAAGAGCGTTTCGAAAAACGTTCAGTACAACCGATCACGCCCACTCCGTCACAAGACTCATACAGAGACGAATGGAAGCATTACAGGTGCCAGCTCGAGGAAGTCAATTATTAGTGAGACAGGTGACAGGTGTTATTATTAGTACATATTATTTGTCTTGGTAATATTTTTGTGTTTCAAGTGGGACTGTTCATGAGCGGCTGAACGTTTCTACTTAATTGTCTTCAGAGTCTTGAATGCGCTCCATCCTACAGACTATAAAACCATTCTTCTGCCGTCTGTCTGTCTGTTGTCTGTCTGTTTCTCGCTCTGTCTCTCTGTCTGTCTGTCTGTCTCTCTGTCTGTCTGTCTGTCTGTCTGTCTGTCTGTCTGTCTGTCTGTCTGTCTGTCTGTCTGTCTGTCTGTCTGTATGTCTGTGACGAAATTCCTTAGCTCCTTTAGATCTGCCTGGAGAGACCGGGTCAAGCGTGGGATGGTGGGCCATGTCCTGAGAAGTATAAAGCACACATCAGCTTGGCGGAGCCCCTCCCACAGTGGGCGTGGCGTGCATCGAAATGAGCTGTAATGAGTACCATGATTTCAAGTTCAGTCACGAGACGGCTTCAAACCTCGGATTCAAAGGTGGCTGAAGGTGTGCATAGGTACGATAGATTCAACCGGGGAGCCCACCCCCGATGGGCGAGCGTTCTCCAAAAATGCAATGCTTTATGAAAACATTCCGGAAAATCATAACTCCTGTCCCCGTGGACCTGGATAGTTCAAAGTTGGAAGGAGTATAGGCGGGATGGGAAGACTTAAGGTGGGTGGTAAGACCAGACTCCGCTCACAGGGAGCAGAGTTTGAGCGGAAATTCATAGATCCTGTCCCAGCGGAACTAGAGCCTCTAAATTTCGTAGGAGCATAGGTGACAGAAAGGGAACGCTTATAGTGAGTGGCAGTACCAGACTCCACCTACAGGAGGCGGGATTTACGCGGGAACTCTTAAATCCGATAAAGGTGGATAATGAGAATCAGCTCATGTCGCTCCCTCCCTCTCTCCCTCAGGGCTAGAGCCCCTAGCGCACGCGATAGCGTGCGTGGCTGCCCGGTTTGATTTATAATGCCCAACGACGTCTAGTTTTTTCTGGCAAATAACGAGGTTTTGTAAACGCGTTGAGGCATTGCCCATTTTACGAAAAATCCCACCAGGGTTTCATCAGTGAAATGAATGGAACCCCTGTCGCCAGAGGCGAATGCCAGCAAGGTATGCTTCTTTACGCGATTGCGATTGTTCTATTGCTTCAGTATCGATTGATCTGAAATCGCTGGGCTTGCGTTTATGCCGAAAGGAACTCGACAGAAGCGAATATGCTTGAGATTGTCTCCTGTGGGAGGAGGGGTGGATTTTTCAGAACCTTGCCACGTCACAGTGTTCTTTAGGTAGTCGTATTGGTAGAAACGCCTTTTGTATATCCGCTACCATCGTATTGAGGTGCGTGCGGAATTGGAGAACCACTTCATGTATCAATGGGGTTGATAAATGGGCTTCAAAAAGCACGTAGTTGAGATAGTACTCGCCCTTCGCATGTAAAGAGGCATCGAATACAATTCGCAGTTAGGCAGATTTCGAAGGGGACTAGACGTGCCTGTGAGGAAGGTAGAAGGTAGCGACGCCATGTGAAAAGTTTTTCGCTTCCTCTATTACTCCTTTTTGAAGGTACGTCGTGAGAGTATCGATGTACAGCTCGAGTTTCTCTTCATCGTCGTTCAGTGTTCGCAATGGGCTTTGCATTTTTTGATACGCCACACTGAAGTTATCTTCGAGGATCTTGACTTCATCAGTGAATTGAAATCCAGTAGTGATGGTTCCATTTTTGACAGAAGTGGTTTTCCTTTCATAAATCTGATAGTTAATGATTAGTCTCTGTCGCTTTCTGTATCGAGTCCAAGTGATTTCAGCTCGTACAGATGCTTTATGTCCGTTTTGTAGTCGTCTTTCGATGATATAAGAGTAGCCACAATGAGCGAACTACATTGTGCATCTCCAACTTGCTTCATTGAATCTGGTATGCTGCTAGTCCCTGAGATTATGTACCCGGAGATAGTGGGTGTGAGGACTAGTCCAGATGGTAATTTGATAGTTGCCGAGCTGTGGTCGAGAATCCTGTGCAGCAGTTCCTGCACAACAAGTAGATCAGGAGATACGTCTGCTGCGATTAGACTCCGCTGGGCGATCGAAATTTTCTTTTCTTTGATGAAGCTCTTGTCTTCTTTTGATAGTTCGGCAGTTCTCGTTTGAGTTGTTAGTTTGTCTATCGTGAAGATTGATAGATGATGTATCTTTTTCGAGCTGTGGCAGCTTCTTAATGTAATCCGGACTTCGTTGGATTGGAAGGTTTCTCGTAGCTCTCCCATCCCTACAGTAGTGAATGATGTGGTACTGGGCAGTGTCAGCTTAAGCGACGCCCCAGGTGATGATTTAATAAAGCTTCGTTGAGCTCCTGAGTCCAAGAGAAGGGTTATAGTTAGATAATCCATCTCAGATTCATTGAAAATTGGAGCTGAAGTAGCACATGTTGGCTGCGAAACAGCTCATTTGCGATATTTACCTGAGGCGCAGAGATTGGAAAGGTTCGAACTCGACTACTTTCTTGTTGTTGACTGCGCAGTCTTGCTGGCTGTTGCGAGCGATTGTGATTCACCGAAGTTGCGCTCCTCAAAGTCGCTTGAGTACTCGCAGCTGGAGCTGGCTATTGCGTAAAACGCGATGTGTCTGCTGGTTGCGATCTGCTTCCATTAGAGGTGCAGAGTGATGAATGGTGATCTATGTTACATTTTGGACATTTGCTGACGACAAGACATTGTCTTGAATCGTGTCCTTTGTTGAAGCATCTCCAACATACTCTTTGTCTTCTGGCTTCGGTTCTGCGCTCCTCTGGTGAGACGAGTTTGTCGCACCGTTGCGGAAGGTGTGTTCCTCCACAAAGACATCTCATTTTCATGCTCTGGCCAGGTGTCGTTTTGTTGTTCGAGTACCTTCCCTGTTGTGAACGGCTGTTGCCTTGCATGCTCTGATCAAATCCGAACGTTCTTGTTGTCAGCTCGGATGTTTTTTGAAGAGTGATGATCTCATCGATGGACTCAACAATCTCTTTCACATCGAAGGAGTCTCCAGCCTCACTTTTTTTGATAACTGTGCCGCAGATCGATTCTGTGAATTTCGAGAGCATTAGACGTCTCCACATTCGATCGGCGTTCATTGATGTTCCTGTCTACTCCAGATGTATGACCCTCAAAGAGATAGCCTCGAGGGTTTCGCGGCAACTCCTTGGGTTTTCATGAGCTCGCGGAAGGCGTTCGATTCCGTTTATCAGTATATCTGCGATGCCAGCAGATCGGTCGTAATGCTTTTGAGAATATTGATGGCGGTAATGTATTTCTCTCCCATTACCGGAATGCTGCTATAATAATTGACGAAGCAGCTTTTCCTTTCAGTGCCTGTTTGAGGCGAAGGAATTTTTCTCGGTCGCTCAAATCGTCATCGCTGTGAATGAGCGACTCGAATACTGACCAAAAAGTGCTGAAATCCCTATAATTTCCTGAGAAGGTAGGGACTTCAAGTAGTGGGCGTCGTACCCGAATGTTCCGTTCTTGTGGAGTTGTTGCACCAGAGAACCTTTCTTGATAGCTGGTGTTACTTACAGTATAAATGTTGCTTTCTTGAGACGAAGCTATCAGTGCGCTTTGTTGCATTAACTCGCCTTTTCTGAACTCGATCATATTCAACCACTGTATGACAGCGACTTCCAGCATGTTCGATTGAAGTCCCAGGTGCTTGTTCAAGTCTACCATGAGCTTTTCGTGCCCTTTTTGCTCTACTCTTCCAGTGATATTCTCTATAGCTTCTTTGACACATGTGTTGTGGAACTGTGTTGCTGAGTTGATTAACTTTTCCAAATAGTTCAGCATCAAAGTTCTCTCTTTGATGTACTCCTTGTAGTCCTCCATTTGATTGAGGAACACAAATGCTTGGCTCAAGTTGTTGATTTGTGGCTCATTAGACTTGATTAGAACGCAAGCGTGTGTGATCTTTGTTTTGAACACTTGAATTCAGCCATTTTCTGTTGTTTTGTGACCGACTTCTGCGTGTCAACAGAGATTTAGGCAATTTTAGAGCGTTACAACGGCTTATTGAAGCTTTCGTTGGTTCCGCAATAGAGTAGCTCCTGCCACGCGGGTCTTTATTTCTTTCTTTTCGGGTTCCTCAGGGAGGATTCGCACAAAAAATTGCTTCACTTCTGTTTGTCGCTGTGAAGAAGCAGTCAGAAATTTGCTGTCAGATTCCCACTTCCTTAGAAGGGTTAGTTGGGGAACTGAAAATTCTCACAAGCGGTTTGGAAAGAACTAGTCAAATCGTCTGTTTTTCCAGGGAAGAGTTAGCTCAGACGATTTCTTAAGAATTCCTTATTCCTCAGGGAGGAATAGTAGGAGAGTCCGATAAGTTTGATTCCAGCTGGTAGTAAACAAACTTTTCTTCTACTTCTCAGAGAGAGTGGAGTAATTTTGAATCAAACTGCGAGAAAAGAAAATTTCGATCGCCCAGCGGAGTCTAATCGCAGCAGAAGTATCTCCTGATCTACTTGTTGTGCAGGAACTGCTGCACAGGATTCTCGACCACAGCTCGGCAACTATCAAATTACCATCTGTACTAGTCCTCACACCCACTATCTGGGTACATAATCTCAGGGACTAGCAGCATACCAGATTCAATGAAGCAAGTTGGAGATGCACAATGTAGTTCGCTCATTGTGGCTACTCTTATATCATCGAAAGACGACTACAAAACGGACATAAAGCATCTGTACGAGCTGAAATCACTTGGACTCGATACAGAAAGCGACAGAGACTAATCATTAATTATCAGATTTATGAAAGGAAAACCACTTCTATCAAAAATGGAACCATCACTACTGGATTTCAATTCACTGATGAAGTCAAGATCCTCGAAGATAACTTCAGTGTGGCGTATCAAAAATGCAAAGCCCATTGCAAACACTGAACGGGGATGAAGAGAAACTCGAGCTGTACATCGATACTCTCACGACGTACCTTCAAAAAGGAGTAATAGAGGAAGCGAAAAACTTTTCACATGGCGTCGCTACCTTCTACCTTCCTCACAGGCACGTCTAGTCCCCTTCGAAATCTGCCTAACTGCGAATTGTATTCGATGCCTCTTCACATGCGAAGGGCGAGTACTATCTCAACTACGTGATTTTTGAAGCCCATTTATCAACCCCTTTGATACATGAAGTGGTTCTCCAATTCCGCACGCACCTCAATACGATGGTAGCGGATATACAAAAGGCGTTTCTACCAATACGACTACCTAAAGAACACTGTGACGTGGCAAAATTCTGAAAAATCCACCCCTCCTCCCACAGGAGACAATCTCAAGTATATTCGCTTCTGTCGAGTTCCTTTCGGCATAAACGCAAGCCCAGTGATTTCAGATCAATCGATACTGAAGCAATAGAACAATCGCAATCGGACATTGCATCAGAGCTATCCAATTCTCTCTACGTAGACAACGTACTCCTCGGAGGCAGAACTGCCGAGGAACTATTGAAGAATTATACAGGGTCGAAGCGACTATTCTCTTCCATCGGGATGAACCTGCGAGATTACCTATCAAATTCTGCTACCGTCAACAAGAACATTGCCGAATGTGGTCGAGCGGCCTCTACCGAAATGAAGGTTCTTGGAATGCAATGGAACGCCATAGAAGACACCATAACTCTGAGATGCGCTGAGATGCGAGCAAACAAGACCTCCAGAAGAACAGCTTTCAGTCAGATAAATGGATATTGTTACGATCCTCTTGACCTACTATCACCGCTAATGGTTCTTGCTAAGATATTTCTTCAAGACCTTCACAAACAGAAGTACGGATGGGACGACGTTTTGACTGAAAAGGACCAAAACACTTGGAGATCCAACACATCGAATGTGATTGGGTTTGAAGTGAACTTGCCTAGGAAGGTTGCGGAAAAGAGCGGGACCAGCAGTCATACGATGTTAATACTCGTGGACAGCTCCAAGAGGGCGTATGCTTGCAGTATCCACGTTACAACGACGTCTTGCCAAGGCATCAAAGAAACAAAAGTTTTCACCGCAAAGTCAAAAGCGGCGCCGATCAAGAAAGAACAAACATACTTCGGCTAGAGCTTCTATTTATATTCTTAAGACTCACTCTAGCAGAGTCCGCCATGAATGAGGTAGACATTAGTTTCAAAGAAGTCAGCCTCTTCAGCGACTCAACCATTGCCTTATGTTGGATACGAGGATACAAACGTCTACCAACTACCGTAACCACACTCGTCCAGAAATTGGACTCAACACAAAAAGAATACGTGATACCAGCAATGCCACATTCTACCATGTTCCAACACATGAAAATATAGCCGACTGCGCAACTAGAGGGGTGACCAAAATGAACTAGAATGCCACCCTTGGTGGTTTAGTCCAGTATGGTTGAATACCACAAATGATTGCTGGCCTGCCAAGAACGCAACCAATCTACGAGAACAAAACTTCGACGATGACGCCGAAAATTTGGCATGCACTTCCGCGTCCACGGAAGAGGTCAGACACACAATGTGGCCCCTAGAGCGAACCAACAGCCTTTCCAAGTTGCTACGAGTCACCTCGTACTGTGCTCGTTCCATCCGTAGGGCGACAAAGGACAAAGTTTTCACCCTAAAAACAAAATCGCTGACGACAGCCACACCCTCAGCTGAGGAGATAACTTTTGCCGGAAAACTCATCATCCGGTAAGAACAAACCAAGCACAGTTCTGCTTCACTCACGGAGAACAAAAAGCTGAATGTCCAACTGGATGGCGAAGGCATATTGAGAAAGGGCAGTAGATTTTAAAATGCAGCCGTCAGCTTCGACACCGCGAATCCTATTCATATACCAAAGCAAAGCAATCTCGGATATCCTAATGCATTGCGACTGCACAAGAAACTTTCACACTGTGGAAGGAACCAGCTTCTGTACAACATCAGACAGCGATACTGGATTCCACAGGATCGAGTTCTTTGTAAAAGGATCTCGAAGCACTGTGTGATATACCCAATTATGGGTCCTCTTCCCCCGGAGCGTGTTACACAATCCCCTTACTTTTCTCATACTGGCGTAGACTTCATGGGTCCGATTATGGTCGAGTCTTCATCCGGAGAAGACTCCAAGCGAGTGTGTAGTTCTCTTCACCTGCTCGGTCACAAGACTTGTTCATTTAGAAGTAGCTATGGATCTATCAGCGAGAAGCTTCATCTTCACGCTCAAGCGATTTATCGCTCGAAGGGGAGTTCCACTGAAGATACTAAGCGACAACGACACAAACTTCCAGCTGACCGGATCTCTTCTATATCAAAGTCGGAACCACGAGGAAGACAGCCGCTTGTTTCGTTCCTTGCAGAACATCGAATAGCATGGAACTTTATTCCACCTTCATCACCATGGACGGGTGGCGTACGGGAAAGAATGGTCCGCACTGTCAAGAGATCGATGTGAAAGACAATAGGCCGTCGGAAGTTAACAGACGAACTCCTTCACACTACACTCTGTGAAGTCGGAAGCACTGTCAACTCGCGGCCAATCACAACTATTGGAGATCAAGATTTGCCATGTGAAGCTTTGCGGCCGATTGACTTCATATACGAGGATGTGAGACATGGAATTACCCAACTTACTTCAGAAGATCAAGACACGACGATCCAGATTTTTACCCTCTTCCCGAACCCTCTTCTCAGAAGGCGGCAAAGCTAGCTATAACAACGACTGAAATGCTCACGAAGAAGTTTTGGAGCATATGGAGGAACGAATACCACATGGTATTACGTGATCGTCACAATGTAGTCGGATCAAAATCAAGATCTTCAGAACAACAACTTCACATCGGCGACGTAGTGATTCTTGATGACTTCTCCCAACTGCCGAGGGACAGTGGTCAATGGCAGTGATAACTGATCTAGTTAAAAGCAGAGACGGAGAAATTCGAAACGTCATGCTCCAAACATCAAAAGGAAGAGTCTTTCAGCGAACAATCAATCGACTTATTCCTTTAGAAATACACTCTTCCATTCATTCTACACAAGACCGAAATAACGAATTTTCAGCAGCAAGAACAAGAGCCACTACTTCGAGAAAAACATCCTCGCTATCAAGGAAAACAACTGGCGTTCCTATAAGACATCAGCCACCAAGATCTGCGAAGAACCAAGTTTCTTATAAAGCCAGTTCAAGCTCTATCGGATCAATCAAATCGGCATCATACACACTCTTCATGGGCGTCATATGCATACTCACGCTAGCCGGTTCAGCTTCTTCAACCACAGTATCATGCTGGAGTAAAGATGCAAGATTAAATACAGCGCTGTCCTCCAGAGCTGAAGTGTACGTAAACTACAAAGAATGCGTAACGATTCTTGCTGAAGCCAATATAACGGAAGTAGCATTACCATTCAAGCATCTCGTGAATCAACATACTATTTAATGGCGTACAATCGATGGATTTGAACAGCACACAGAGACTACTGTCTGTCCTCCAGAAGATATATGCGAGAAGATAAACTGCATAAAGTGGTTTTTGTGAATTTTTAGGAAACCCTCACTGTGCGCCACAATTAATGATAGGGATCCTTGCGATATGCCTTGCACTCGACCTAGCCCCAATATCAGTGCTATGCTTTATAGCTTCTCGACAGGTGCTCTCCAAACGACACTGGAGAAAACACAAGAAGATTAGCATTCCACTGCAAAAGCTAGAGGAAAACATAACAGTGACAAGCCTGTCTGCACTACCAACGAGCTCAAAGATAATCAAGTTTACCATAGTGATGGCATATATGGTTTCTAGTGGACAAACGTGTCAATACACGCATAAACTTACAGCCAACAACACGGTTCGCTCCAGATCAACCAACATAACCGATTTTCGAGAAATACTGGAAAGCATCATAGCGCTGAGCGAAAGCAGACCTCAGGCTTGCTTTCGTCTTCGAAACCAAAATCGAACAGTCGGAATCGTGGAAATACGTTTGCAACACGTAATTTTGACCTGAAATCCAGTAGTGCTTTTTATATGAAGGACGTCAACATTGTCAAAAAATCCGTTAAACGATGCCGTATGGCTGGGTCATGCACTTCGCAAACCTGTTCACACACCAGCAGCCGGTCAGAAATCCCCGAGCTCCAAAATACATACGTGTACCCCGGCACTACACGATGTACCACATCCTGTGGCGGGATAGGATGCTGATGCCTACTCCTTATGCCAGGATGTCTATTCTCGCTCTCTTATGCCAGACCGAAGAATGAAAAAGTCTATAAGGTGTTTTGTTGCCAAACATGGCATGAGTCAGCCTTGATCTCATTCAAGCATACAACCCCACATGGAGCGGAAGTGTCGGATATAATCACAATCGGCACGCAGTCAACTCATGTTATGAAGGATGCCAATATAACGCTGCAATTGGTAACAACTCCAGCAACTCCTTATTAGGACCGACGTTTGTAGGGACTGTCAACATCAACCAGTCCGACGTTGCTCTAATTGATAGCGAGGACTTTTTTGCGGGAGCCGGTCGTTTGGCGCAATGGGCGGGGTCTCCTCTCCTCTATAGATGATGGATTGGGCTTCTATCATCTTAGAGAAAAGGAAAGCGGAAGATTACGCGATCTGAACGAGTTGAACGGTGCGATGGGCGGAGTCGCGCCACCTCAAATGGGCGGCGCGACCCCGCCCATCGCGCCAAACGACATACACCCCTTTTTTGCTTTACGCTGCCCTACAAGTGCTTCAACATATCAGAATGTTAAGTAGAAGACAGATGCTCTTGCTCTCCATCAGAAACGGGAGCAAGATGTGATTGCAGCAGTGCTGATACAAGCAGTAAAATGGTCTCTATTGACAGCCGCCCCCCACTATCTTCATCAGCCCTTCACCTTCAGGACGACCATGGAAGAATTTATGGAACTGTTCATAGTGCTCTCATCGATCTCAACATAAGTACCCTGCCGTATATCGAGCAGACTCTATTATCGATGACGAAAACTGTGTCATCGCCACTACAAGGATGTTACAATTGCCCACGAGGAGTTGATGTTGTTTTTTCATGCTACTCGAATCAACCGATCATAATAGAAGTGAAGTGCTAAAGGAACTTCTTGCCGCCACCTGCAACTCGTCCACAGCCCAAACTACTGCGACCATCCAAGCAACAAGGCCAAAGTACGAAGATATCTGCGATGTGAAGTGTGGAGGTAAATCTCACAAGGTTGTCATCTCAGAGATATCAGCGTTCCACACACTTTGGGAGACTCCAACTCACCTCCGCAAAGTTGAACGTGCGAACTACGTCAACATGTTAAACTTCCCCGACTTAGAGCATTTAATTGACGTAACAATCGGCCATTGGAAAACGGTAATTCTGGCCATGATCGCAATTGCAATATTCATCGCCGCAATCGTCCTTACTGTTCCGAAACTCACAGTGCGAGCACTCTCCTAATGGCGGTACCTCGCATACTCCTATACATGCTCCATCTAATCAAATTACAACCTGGCACCTGAACCACTACCTTATCGAGGACTACATGTATGGAGGCCAGCCACGCCAACGTCGTATACCCAACGAAACGCATTTGTAGAAATTGTTGTTGTATTCATAGATAGCGAAAATTGTATTGTAATATAGAACATTATTGTCGCTAGTTGCACTGATACTCGCCTGTCTAATATAGTACATGCATTGATGCACAGTTAATTTTACGTAGGTAACACTGTTGTACAATGCAGCTACCGCTACTTTTCGCCCCGCTCCAGTGTTGTGGACTCACAACTAGTCCACTTAATCACCTTAGGTAATACTCATTATAGGTACCTCTTAAGAAGATGCCGAAAGCATGACCTAGCGCTAACATAAGAGTGCTATCAAGTAGGTAACTTAGGCCTTGCTGTTGACGCGGTGCGCCCTTTCACCCCCTAACTTGATCGCACTTATACAGTAAACAACCATGCGGTATCTGGGCACCGCCCACATTTATGTGCATATAAGCATGCAGATTTATATATTATTGTCGGTTACCTTACTCGTCGTAATAAACAAATTACACGTGTACGGTAGAAGTCCATTGGCCTACCAAAACTGCGTATATACAAATATGACGTATTACGTGTTTAACGAGTAGCCCATTCCATGTTGGCAGTAATATTTAATAATCCTTACTATATATAATCCACAAGTTTGGTGTGTCTGTTTGTATG